ACTACTGCTGCTTCCTCCACCCACGCGCCCACTGTGCCGACTGAGGGTGCTGCTCCTCCTGCGCGTCTTGCACAGCCCCGCTCTACTTCATCATGGGCAGCTGTAGCTGCAGGTAGCACCGCGCCAGCTGCAGCAGGCGTAGATCCTGTCGGGCTATCGTCTGGCTCTTCGCAGTTGCCTGGAACTTCGCCGAGACCGCAGACCAGTTCATTTGGTGCAGCTGCCACTACTGCTGCTTCCTCCACCCACGCGCCCACTGTGCCGACTGAGGGTGCTGCTCCTCCTGCGCGTCTTGCACAGCCCCGCTCTGCTTCATCATGGGCAGCTGTAGCTGCAGGTAGTACCGCGCCAGCCGCAGCAGGCGTAGATCCTGTCGGGCTATCGTCTGGCTCTTCGCAGTTGCCTGGAACTTCGCCGAGATCGCAGACCAGTTCATTTGGTGCAGCTGCCACTACTGCTGCTTCCTCCACCCACGCGCCCACTGTGCCGACTGAGGGTGCTGCTCCTCCTGCGCGTCTTGCACAGCCGCGCTCTGCTTCATCGTGGGCAGCTGTAGCTGCAGGTAGCTCCGCGTTTGCCTCTGCAGGAAGGGATTCCTTGCCAGCAGCACCGGCCGCTCCAGAGGCTGTCTTCGATCGAGCCCCAGGCGGTACAAGGCCTCGGCCTCCTGCGCACGCATTGGGATATCCTTATGGACCTCCTGTTCCTCCGGCAAATGCTGGCTATTCTGCTTTACCTACCTCTTCAGCGTATGACCTGCAATTCCAGATGAAAGGTTTAGGGGGAAGCCCTCTTCAGGAAACCGCTAAAGTAACTCCGGAAACGCCTTCCGCTGAGGCCGGACTTGAGGCACTTAAGTCTCTCTTCCGCGGGTCACCCCAAAGACCGCGGCAATAGGACAATGCACCCTAGGCAGCGACCAGCGGCAGCAGCAGCTTCGGCACCTGATGCTGCAGCCGCAGCAGTTTCAGCAGCTGAGTCCACTTTTGTTTTTAATGAAAATGGTGAAGACAGTGGTTGATCTTCGGGCCCCTACGTTGAATGCATTGTACTGTGGGGGAATTTTCTCATTCTCAGGTGTATTTAGGTGCGTGCGCATTTGCAGTAGATTAGCGCCGTGGAAGGCGTATCACGGGAAGATCCCTGTATCTGTGTTCCGTTTAATTCAAAACAGACAAGAGGCCCCACATTCGTGGAGAGCATGCTGGAGCGAGGAGCTGGGGGCTGTCAACGCAAGAAGAGGATACAGGAGCACAGAAGGCAATAATTCAACGGGACCTGTCAGCGTGCGGTTGTTGCTTCCCGCACGATCGCGCATATCTCTTAATTGCAAGGCGCTGTGGACAGTGTAGCCGACATTAAAGTTTGTGTACCGGTCATCATTGTGGCTGCTGTAATGTGCCCCGAATGCGTTATGATATTGTTTACATGCTTGCGATGTAAAGATAGAAAAGGCACGGGGTAGAAACTTTGCACTAACACGTAGTTGTCCGCGCATGAAGGTGTAGTCATGTGTCCTCTGCGCAGATGCATGTAGTTGTGATGCCAAAAGAAACCTCTATGACCGGCAAACCGAGCGCATTTCACTTTTTCATACCTTAATGCTTATTTGTACCACCTGCGTGTGATTCGAGTATTCTCTCTGACACCGTGAGAGTGTCGCAACCTAATGCATGTTGCAAAAGTACCACTTCGGAACACATACCCGAGCGTGGGCAACTGCAGCGCAGGCACATGAGAGGTGCATTGCGTTTTTGTCTGGTTGTTTCAATTAGAAACATACAAAAGGACCATCCAGGTATTTGATCGTATATTCTCCTGCCACAAAGTTCTTCTCTTGGAGGTTTCCAAGGCCAACACCTTATCACTTCATTAGAACAATGCTCTAGAGGACTACAGCTGAGAGACTGGGTTAACGTGGCCAAGCCATCTGACGGCGAACCTTTGGTATCTAGCGGCTGACTAATCTCTTAGCTAGACAGTTAGCCGACCCGCACGAAGAAGAGAAATTAAGAGGGAAGGGCTGAAGCGGGAAGTCTAAGCGCAACCACGAATTACTGAAAATGCTCCAACGCGCCAGGTGCGGTAATTAAGATCTTGCATTGCATATCATTCTACTGGTATAGTTTCTACTCTTCATCATCAGTCCGCTTCCTATTGCTAGCCAGACGTTTCAGCGCGTCACGAACAAGAGAATTCCAATTCGTTCGGTTCTTGATCTGCTGGCAGCAACTCTGTACACTACGAGAGTGTCTGTGGAGCCCTTGAATGTGGACGCACGTTGCTAACGTAACCAGTCACGTCGCTGCCCTTCACCAAGTGGGCAGAAAGCCTTAAGAGGGGACAACCTTAGGGGTGAACGCACTAGCGTTAAAACAGCATGTGGATGGATAGTTGGGGGACATGTTAAACGAGCAGTGGGGGGAAAATAATAAGCTTATCACTTAAATTTCTTTCCGCCAAAAGCAATGCGTGCAGCTGCGGCAAGCTGTGCAAGCCGCAGCGAGAGTCGATCCGCTTGCAACCGCCAAGCTGGTGCAATCCGCTACGACGAGGACCTAGCAGGCAGCTGAACGGCAACTACTATCGCAATCCCTTCAGGAATTTGTTCACTGGATATAGGATGTAAGATAGAATAATTGCGGGCCTGACGGACAAACAGATTCAATCTGTGCGTGCATAGGGGCTAGGGACGGACGCCGCTACGACGAATGACCACTGCTACGATCAGTCGGCTGAACGGCAACCGCTCTACAAGAACATGTGTACTTGCGATGTATATCTCACTGGCGTTGTGTGTTTGACGCCTGGATGCATCTCAGAATCTCTTTGTTGCAAACAGCTTGAATCCTCCATTGATCCTGTTGTAGCAGAAACAAGCAATAGGGGTCGCACTAAACTGACCGTACGTCTTGGGACCTTGTGCTGTCCAGAGGGCTTTACTGGTTTTTTTTCTAGTGGGGTGGGTTGGTGTTGGAAGCGGCTTTTATGCAACGTGAAAGTCGTTTGGCTGCATATTCGTCATGGTGTTAGTGACCTCAGGAGCAGCAGCACCAGACGAGAACAGTGCTCAAGCGGTAGTAAGGCGTGTTGCGGGACGATTTTCCAACACCTAAGGCAAGTGGTGTTTCGATCAAAGCTAAGGATTTTGCTGCAAAACCAACTGAATTGTGGTCTTCAGTCACTGCTTCATCTGCTCCTGTCAACGGCATGAAAGGCAACTGCCCGACAGCAAACAGCAAAACTAAACTTCAAATCGGCAATGGGACAGAGTCATAGCAAGGACAAGGGGCGGTCTCCACAACCAATTCAGGCCATTCCTTTTGTCGTCCGTTCGCCTGCAGTTCTACTGCTGGTCGTGATGATGCGGTTTGAGTGATTGGTGTCGTTCCCCATAGTGCTGCTGCCTAACTTGCTGGTCTAGTAACTACTTCGCACGTGGGGCAGGAGGTGAATTTCCCCCTGCTAGTGCATCTAAAGCAAGAGAGGCACAACACGAATGCAAGTGAAAGAATTGAGCTCCTGCGAAAGACAGTCAGCCGTTTGCTGACAGGAAACAAGGGGGCGAAAACGGAAGTGGCAACGGATTGAGTGCGGCATGGTGCAGCTGATGACGGACACCAGCATGAAGAGGGAGATCAACGCAACGACAGCCGTGTCAAAATGCTCCACAGGAGACACACATGAGGTGGCAGTACTGTTTAAGATGAAGCAGCCGAAGGACAGTGCGACAGGCCGGAAGAGTCTGCATGCGGCCTGAGTGGGAAACCGGTGCGCAAGCTTCACGGCCTTGTGCCCACAAATCACATGGCGTGTTACACACTGTTAAACTTCAGCAGAAGCAAGTTATGCCCTGTGGAGGGGGCCTGCTGAAGCAGAAAGAGGGAGCGTTTCTGCCAGCACTTCACGAAGCACCCCTCCAGAAAATTGCCGTAGGGAGGTCGGGCCCGCCATTCCTTCACGACCTTTTTCCGTAATCAGCCAATTCATGTTGTTTCCTGCAAAGAAGCACTGTGCAAAAACAGAAAAAAGCAATGCCAGTGTCGCGTGAGTAGATGTACAAGTACAAGACGCAGCACCACTGGTACTGGACCATCACGGCCGAAAGACACGCTGCGTGCCTCTTAGGGGCGCCGCTGGGAAGTCTCGTGTGAGGGAACTGCGTCTCCAGCGGAGTACGAGAACTTTTCGTTGAATTCGCATATTTAAGGAGGAAGGAAGTTTCTCTGGGAGCCTATCTCACGGTCTCTGCCCGTCCTTCCCCAACGATCCTCAAGCTGACCGCACGGGTTAGCAGAGCATGGTGGGCATTTTCCGTCAATTTCTGGATACAAAGTTTGCCACTGTCTTCAGATGCATTCTATGAGTAAACAAATTTACGTTCCACCCCATATAGATTGCAGTGTGCTTCAGAGGGGATCTGATGCTCGTCGACCAGGCGGTGAAATCCGTGGTAACTGCAATTCTGCCACATAACTTATCCTTCGTCGCTACAGTCCCTGCTTTGAAGATTTCCCTTCATCTGTGTCACTAACGAATCAGAATCTGCATTGTTTGCCTTAAGCTAATGGAGCGCCATGAAAACCGCACCGATAGCGGAACCAGGCGCTCTACAGACGTCGCTGCTCCTGCTCGCCCGGAGCGACAGCTCCGGTGAAGTCTCCACTGGAGATGCTGTGTTACCCCTTATTTGGAGGAGCCATCGACAAGGATGGAATATGGGATTTAGGGGGCTTAGGGCCAGTGTGGCGGCCATCGCAGGGGTCGCTGCCATTGCAGCAGTGTACTTGATGTTCTGGTGCGCAGTTCATTTGGCCAGAGGCCCCACAAGCAAAACTGCACTAAGATTTCTTGCAGGCGCAGAAGGAGAGAAGAGTAAAGAGTGGGGAGAGTCTTGCATTTCTCCGGCGGAGGACCCCCCCGCTGTAGCTGCTTCTGCCACTGCTGTTGAGGAGGATGAGCTTGTAGAGGGTGATGCTGTTGAGAATCACCTGTTGAAGCGAGCTTCGCTTTATGCAGTGGAGCTTAGACGATTGATAAGTAACAGCGAGTCTGTGTTGCGCAAGCTGGACAACCAGCTGCGAGCCAGGTGCATAGCAGCGTTTCTGTGTTTGTCTGTGGTGGAGTTGTCTGCTTTATTGTCGTTGTTGGAAGGAAGAGAAAGGAACTGCGTCCAAAGAGAAATATGTGTAATTTACAGACGAATATGGGCCTTGCGAGACAGCTTGGGTAGCAGAAGTGTTTCTGTGTCGCGGCAGCGGCATATCAAGTGCCTCCATATATTGCTCGGTAGGCTCAGAGATGTCAAACCCGCTGTTGCGGTCCACGCGGAAAGGCAGCGACAGCTGAGAATTAAACGCTTGCTACAGCTGCAGGAGGTGGCTTTGAGGCAGCTGGGCGCTGGACTCTTCTGGCTGAGGATATCTCTGCAAACCCCTATGAATAAAATCGATGACGCCAACACTGCTGCTGCAGCTCCTGAGAGCGCTGCGAGGGCAATTGACGGTGATGCATCAACGGCTGAAAGTGGCGCAGGGTCTCCTGAAGGTACTGATACAGCTCCTGATGGTGCTGCACTGGCGATACATACTAGGGTTGTTGCAGTAGTTAAGGCGATTGAAATCACAGTGCACAAACGCCGCGGACAAGTTCTACTCGATGCGTTCCTCAGCCGTTGGCTGCGGGAGGTGCACGTAGGGGTCGCCCACTACGGCATAACTATGCCCGACGCTCTTGAACGGATAATCAATGGACCTCCTAAAGCTCACCGCGAACTTTTCGAAGCCTTGCAGGCAACTCCCTTGGGGGCGGGAAACGAACCCTGGGAGAACTGGCAACTCGAGGACGCCAACACAAAGCAGAAAACTCCCTCCACCTCTGCCGGCGAGGCGTCTTCCCGGAGAAAGAAAGTGTCTACCGAAAAATCAGCCCGCGCTCCTCGCGATGCAGGACGACTAAACAGTTTCCACCGGAGCTCACAAATAGAGACCGCCGCTGGTGGATTTCCCTCCGTGTGCGGCTCCCCCACGGCAACAACTTCTCATGCTGCTCAGGGGAGGCACAGAACCCTGCAGGAAACTATTTCTCCCACAACAGTGTCTAGCAGTGCAGAATCGGCTCTGCCCCCGCAGGTTCCGTCGCCCCCTAAGGCGGGGCATCGCCAAGCCAACGCACTCCCTGCCAGTCTCGGACAAGCTGCTGTGTTTGCATCTCTTTCTAGAAATCCTAGAGCCCCGCCGGCCTTCAGAGATACGAGTGCTTCTTTTTCCGCCAGAGTTTTCGAATTTTCGTCGTCCACTGTGGCCTTCCAGATACCTTCGCCGGTACCCTTTAGAGCGGCTGTTTCCTCTACTCCTCCTCACTCGTCTGAGGCCTTCACCCAACGGAAGACGGGTGTTGTTGCTCAGCTGCCCGTTGCTCCTGCCGACGTTTTTGGATCGGAGGTTTCAATTGCAGCACTTGCCCACGTACCTGTCTCCCCAGACAACAACCCTTTGCCAGAAGGCTCAGTCCCACCGCTCGATGCCTTAGAGAGCTCAGTCGAAGCATCAGTCCCCCGTTTGGGGCCTTCTTTTCTAGTTTCCGCCCACCAGCGTGTAGATGGCGCACTCGTACAATCTACTGGAGAGGCTCGGGGAGACTGGTCGTCTCAGGCAAAGGGAACACAAGAACTGGCTTTTCAAGACCCGGAAAAGTTCATGTTGGAGCCTTCGATATCTTCGCTGCAGGCATCACCTTCGCGGCCTGTGCCAGCCTCTATATCTACAGACGTGGAATCACGTTTGACGTCAGACATACAGCAGTCTGGAAGTCCCGTTGATATCTATGGAACGCCAATAAACTTTAGGGAATGGGCACTGCCGCCAAGTGTTCCTGATAGATTTGTCGAGGGGTTGTTGACCAATACCGAGCCCGACGCGCCAAACGCTGCAACAGTTGCTGCGGGATTTGCTGCTCTTGCAAAACTCTTCAGTGGTTCTTCCGACCAACAGTCGGGCTGGAACAACACTCCCTAGAAGGCGACCGGCTGCAGCAACACCTGCCGCACCTGAAGCCCCGTCAAGGGTTGCGGTAGCTCATTTGTCTACTACGTATACTAAACCTGCCGATGGTACTCAATCAACGTCGAAACTTAGTTCCTAGTGGAGATTCACTCTGTGGCGTGTGAAAGCAACTGTGGTGAGGTCATGAGGATCTATATTTCATTCATCTCCAGGCTGGAAATAACTCATTGGCGGGGAGGGGGCATCCTTCAGCGGCCATCGTGGGTTTTCACGTCTTGCAGAGGATGCCCGGGTGCCAAGAAGGCAACGGGTGCAGTTGGTGTTTGGCTATTGCTTACCGGAGTGTCGGCGCCTCTCTGGTACGATGCCCAAAACGCCCTTTAGTAGAGAGATGGGGTAATTGCCGGCATCCATGAATGTTTCCATGTTCCACGCCTGATGTATTAAAGTACTTCAAATGTTTGCAGTGTTGTTGTGATAGCAGCTATCATTCGTGATGTCTTTTGTATGCCCGAACAGGCGTAGGATGTGCTCTTTTCGTGGTTGTAATTTCGACGATAGTTAGGAGACCGGAAGCTTAGTATTCGCGTTCTTGCGATGCATGGAGCTTGAGGCTTTGTCTGAACACTTCATCCAATCCGTTGCAACCAGGAAACTGTGGAGTTTCCTGGCACGGCAAACACCCTGCAACCTGCCAGGTGGCGTTGCAGTCAGCCCGGCAATTGTGAAGCCGTGCTGCACGACAGTGCAGAGAACGCGAGCAGTAGTACCGGTATTCACTAGCTGTTGAATGGTGTTCTCTGTCGTTGGGAAGCAGGTTTTGCACATCTCAAGGACCCATTTCTCCCATTGTTGATACGCATGGACTACAGCTAAATCGATTGAGGACCCTGACACAGGGAGGCAGATGCAATGCAAAAAAAGTGACAGATGACTTGCACGCAAAACGCCCAACACTGTAGTGGGAGGTGCATGAACTTTCGGGTTAAAGCTAAAACTGCTAACATGTTGGAAGCGTAATGTACAGCCTTTGTGACTTTTTTTCTCACCAGAGGAGAATTATGGGTTTCATTTATTGGGGCTGAAGGGACTGCGTTTTTATTCTCGTCTCTCAGGCTTCCTAGGCAGACTTCGAAGGGGCCTAATTCGGCAATTTGTGGGGGGATTCTGCAAGCATCGTTTACGTGGTGAATTCAGAAAAAAGCACGCACGAGCCACCCAGTAGGCTGGCCCAGAGGGTAGCTAGCTGCTCCTCACCCCTTGTCTATTGGCATAGGAAGACTGGCTAAGTGGAAAGTCTGAGGGGATTTCCAATCCCATGCTCAAATTGCAACGAGCCAGGCATTGTACACTTCCACTTCGTTCGGCTCGTTGTCTGCGTGCTGTTCTTTCTTAGTGCTCTCCCTCCTACGTGCCGATGGGAATGGGTAATTGGACTCCCGTAAAACACACTGCTTGACTTAAGGTGTAAGGGTTTGGGGTCGTCACCTCCCAGACGGGGTGGGTGCAGCCGACGGAACCTGCGCATGCCCTGCAAAGGGAGGGTGCCCACATGCAGCCTTTAGAGTTATGTATTCTGACACTTCCATGTCCGAACAGCGAGCTACAAGCTAGAAGGTGTCACTGACTACAACCATTTCACATGAATGCTGCAAAATCTGCGAACTGGGATTCTAAGGGAATATACGGACACATATTTGAGAATAACGGCAACGGTAAAATAGTTCTGCAAATAATGCTATCTATTCTCTTCGATTCCTCTTATCTCCAAATACATGGTCCATATGCATGTTGTGTATTACATCTATGTTTGTCTCTGGCCCAGGTTAACGATAAAAAAACGTGAAAAAGTAAGATGCCCATGTTCTGCTTGTCCTGCTTTTAGTGATTTGTTGTGGTATCACAACTGCATTCATATTTGCGCAAAGCCACGCCCTTAACGGACGGACTGAGGTGCACGCTTTCTACTGAGGCGTTTCCACTCCCTACCCCTTCTAGCTTTACACCGCAAACATTGGAACTGTGCCATACTTCCTCCGACGAACATTACAGCAGACAGAATCAGGGCCGCTGTAAAACCCCAGGAATTCCATTAAAGTAGGGCTCCGCAAGAGAGTGACTATCAGTTCCACTACGAGCAGGACAGGACTGAGCTGTTGTAGCTGCAGCATCCGGTGGGGGCGTTGGCGCTGTCGATGGCCGCTGCCTAGGGTGCATTGCTCCATTTTGGCAGCCTGTTGGGTGGCCCAGTGAAGAGTTGAGAAAGTGCCTCAAGTCCTGCTTCAGCAGCAGTCCTTCCCGTAATTGGCATATCCGTTTCCTGAAGAGTGTTTCCACCTAATCCTTTCATTTGGAATTGCCAGGCAGCTGTTGGAGAGGCAGATAAAGGAGCATAGCTAGAAGTTGCACAAGGTTCAGGACTTCCAAAGGGACCAACATATTTGTCGGCAGAACGCCGAGGCCTTGACGCGCCTGGGGCTCGATCGAATCCAGCCTCAGGTAGGACTGGTGCTGCTGGCAAGGGATGAAAGGCTGAAGAGGCAGGTGAGACACCACGTGCAGCTACAGCTGCCCACGATGGACGAGGATGAGAATGAGAAAGAAGTGCAGGAGCAGCAGGACCTTGCGTCGGCAAGGTGAAATCTTGAGAGGAGAAAGCAGCAGTAGGAGCAGGTGCACCAAATGAACTGGCCAGCGGCCTCGGCGAAGTTTCAGGCGACAAGGAGGAGCCGGAAGATATCCCGACGTCAGTGGCAGCAGGGGTTGTGGAGGTCGATGCGGCTGCTGGTTCCCGCCCACTAGCTGAGAAGCTAACAGCAGTGCCAGAAGGGAGGGAGGCAGCAGGGTGCTGGGGTAGGCTAGCAGGAGTAGGCGGCCAGCCAGGTGAAAGTTCATTAGACACAGCCGAAGGGGATTCTGTCTCGAGGCGATTGGAAACCGACAAAGGCTGGTCCTTCCTTTCAGATACAGCAGTGGTAACAGCGACAACAGCGTCATCAGGAACAGGCATTGTGGGGGACGATAAGGTAGGAGAGGATCCACAAGGGTCAGCCACTGCTTGTGAGCCTTCGCGGGGACTTCCCGGCTGCTGTGGAGCAGCAGCCGCAGTGGAGGTAGTAATAGCAGCAGTGGCAGACGTGGTGGAGGAGGAGGAAGTAGGTGCCGACATGGCAGCGCCGGCGGTTGCCTTTGGTTTGTGGTGGCGGGGTGCCAGCTTTCGGGGGGCACGACTAGCATTTCTCCTACCTTCTGAACGAAGTCCTTTGCATACTTTAGAGGGTGTCTGGCTGACAGGCTTGTCTGGGGTCTTCCTAGCTGCGATGGTTCTCTGGACGAGATCGTTTTCCCAGGGTTTTTCGCCGGATGCCAGTGGCGTGGTCTCCATGGTTCGCATGTGTTCGCAATGGCTTTTGTGAGGCCTCCTCAGTATGCCATCGATGGCACCGGGGCTCATAATGCCATAGTGAGATATGGTTTCATGTGTCTTCCGCAGCCAGCCGCCCAAAAGCTGATCGAGAAAAACATGTCCCCTCCTTCTGTGCACGGTGACTTCGATGCTCGTAACAATTGAATCAAGTATATAATCAGTGGAAACGCCACGGGGTGCAGCAACAGCCTCAACACCTTTAGCGTTGGGAGCGGCACCTTTACCGCCTGTTGCAGCAGCTTTGGAGACATTAGTAGCACTCTTTGAGCTTTCCAGGGATTCTTTTAGCCATGCCAGCCCGGTGCAAAGCTGATCTAATTCTAGCTTCTGCAGCTGGAGCAGATGTTTCATTTTTACCAGTTGCTGGCTCTGTGTGAGATCGGCGGATGGGGGTGGCACTTCATTGAGCCTGCTGAGTAGTTTGTCGAGGCATGCGTGATGCCGCTGTCGAGAAGAGGAAATTTCACTAGTGTTTAGAGTGTCGCGGACATCTTGTATTCGACTTCTAATCTTGACTGTTTGTTGGAGCATATCCTCCCTCTTTGGTTCTTCCAATAGCGAGTACAAGGCAGACAACTCCACCACAGCCACACACAAAAACGCTGCTATGCACCTGGATCTTAGTGGGGTGTCCAGCTGCAAAATCACATTCTCGCTTTCTTCAACAAACTGTGTGAGGTCGATGACGTACTTTCGAGCCTGCCTCAACAATTCCTCTTCATCAAGGCCTTCACTCTCTGCCAGTTTCGTTGCAACCGAAGTTGCACTTGCAGGAGGGGGCTCTTCCTCCAGAACATTGCAAGACTCTCCCGTGTGTATGCCTCCCCTAGCTTCCGCTCCTGCAAGAAATCTCAATGCCCCTCTGCTCTTGTTGGAGTTCGCCAGGTACAGTACGCAGTGCAGAACTAAGTACGCTGCTGCAACAGCAACAACTGCGGCAATTGCTGCTACACGGGGGCCCACCCCTCCAACCCCTCCATTCCACCGGTGTCTAAGGCTCTTCGAAGTAACAGGATGCACAGCATCTTCAGGGAATACCTCCAACGCACTGTCGCCGAAGCGGAGCAGGTGCACTTGGGTCGGAAGTGCGCCCTCCCCTGCTGCGGCTACGATTTGCATGGCACTCCTTCAACTCAACAAAAATGCCACAGCTTCAGGATATTTAAGTAGAAAGTAGAGGAGTAATACTGCTGGTGGAGGAACAAGGGGGAACAACTACGATAGTGGATTCGTCGCCCCGAGCATTCATCGCCCCCTAGACGCTCACCGGGTCACCTGTAAAACACAAGGTTTCCTGCATCAGCTGCACAGCAGCAAGCTTACTCAGTTCTAAGCTGTATCTGGAAAAGGCGAAGAACTTTGCCTTCAGAGTATGAACAAATATATCAGGTGTGTGCCGCAAATGCCCTCCAGGCGTTGCTTGCTCGCGCGGTCCTATAGAGGCTTGTCGTGGTGTGTTAGAGAGGCCATAAATAGGCTTCACATAGAAAAGCTTTTACATATACAAATGATAATTCAACGAAAAGGTGCTACAATGCACTACGGACGGGCGTTTCACCCTGACCGTCCGGGGCGATCTCGCTGGCGAGGCTCCCACAGTGGGCGCGGTTGTTGCAATGTTGATCTGCTTGGTGCTTTTGCACGTTCTGCAATGAAATTGTTCTAGTTTTGGGTTTTTGGGTGTACTCGTGCATTGAAAAACACTATAAGGGATTCTTCGGGCCGGAAATTTGTCCCCTAGAAGCTGGTTCAGGGAGAGTGCAGGCTCGCTCCGGCAAATAGCATGGGGGGCACTTCGAGCAAGACGAGCCACAATGCTTGCTGCTGGTGCCAAAAAAGGCGCACTGCAGACTCCTTAATATTAAAACTCCGTTGATGTTCAGCATTATGTATTGATCCAGCCTACTAAGCCGGACACCTGAATGTGGGAGTGCAGTGTGTCTGCGCTCAATCCCCGACTCGCGGTGCCGGGGGCAGGCGTGTGCTTCTATGAGCTACCGCTGCCGCTTGGCATTCAACCTTCCCCAAGCCTCTTCTGTGGCGACTAATTCTTGTCCCCACTTGTTTTCAATCTCCTTAAAATCAAACTACCACTGTGGGTCTGTTCCCTGCTAGAGCAGGCTTCAGTTGTGTCATTTGTCCCAACGTATTTGCCTGTCTGCCTTCATCCCTCACCGCCCCCCATACCCAACTCCACTAACACCTCCTCCTTTTGCTTAAGATCCCTCAATTAAGTGGCAGTCCAAACATGTGTCTTTCAACAGCTCCCACACCGAGCCTGGCTTGCTGCGGCAGCAGCACCAGAAACACCAACCTCAACCTCCAAGCATCGGGTACCTCACACGCAAAGTAGCAGCTCAACCAGCAACTACAGAGCCAGAACCAAGTGCGCCAATTAGGGTAGCCACTGCAGTACCGGCAGCACGACCAGCAACTGAAACAGCATACACGCGAGCAGCAGGTGAAACGTCTGGGTTAGTTGTGAAGAGGGGTGCATGGGGATAAGCGCGCTATCTTCTCTTCCTATTTGCAATTCGATTCTGCAACTGTGTCTCTTTGAACAGCTGCAGAATGGGCAGCAGCGACAGCAAATGGAACAGGTAGGCGCAGCCTCAACGGCGACCGCAACACTAACAGGATACATTCGTACAACAGAAGGCAACCAGCAATACTGACTCTGGCTCAACTCAACAGATAAGGCCAACTCACATTAGCTCGAAATTACGGAAGCCGCAGCCAAAACAAACCGCCACCCGTACATAGGGGCAGTTGCCATTTTTGCTGCTAACAGACGAAGAAGGGGCAATGACTGAATAGACACATCATCAAAAAAAGGCTCCAGAACGACAGACGAGATAGAATGCAGCGGTTTCAGCGCTGTTTACACCTCTCCACAGCAAATGGAACACAAATTAGGGATAGCACCCTGCTCGTGCAAGGTCGCCCAATGCCTGGTCGTGCTGCTAGTGCTGCAGTGACTACAACAGTTGCTGAGCAGGCCAAGCTTGCTGCAGGTGATGTTCAAGCTAGTGCTTCCACTGTGAGGTACGCAATGTTTCTGATGGGTGAATATGATAAATGTTGTGATACTGCTGCAGCTGCAACAAGTGAGGCCCGACGAGGCAGCAGGTGAAAAGAACAGGGTTGGAATGCTTTTCGTAAAAGTCAGATGCAGGTTTGTTAGCGAAAAAAGAGGAGGGAAGGCATTGAGGCAAGGCACGACGAGAGGAAACACCTGCAGGAGGGTACGTAAGTTCACACGGATTCGGAGGCGCGGAGAGGGGAAGACAGGTAAAAGGGCACCACAAGCCATCCTTGAGATATTTGAGACACCTGAAAATGAAGAAGCAGGGATACTAAACTAGGGATCAGGCAAGCACCTGACCCTCGTTGCGCGGCAACCCGACGAGGGAGTGCACCGGCAGTGCCCTCGAGCAAGCTTGTGGCTCACTCGGTGACTTGGCCCAATACACATTGCTCATCCGGGACATGAGCAACTTAATGAAGGTACAAGGCTGCTTATGGAGGGAGAGCAACACACCCTGTGTCTTGATACTGCTCGAAATGCTCCCCACACAAGGCCGCCGAAGGGATTTCCCCTTCCCCGAGACACAAAGGCTATGCGCGCCAGAAAATCCCTTTCATTCTGTTTAAAGCAACAAGATACTCTAAAGAAACCGAATACAAGCATTTTTTTACAGCTTTACTAGCGGAAACAAGAGGAGCAACAGCAGTGGCACTGCAGCTGCATGACAGGAGGGCACCCTGCGAGCCTCGCCGTTCACGGTCCTCTGGACGCTTCAAGCGAGAGGTCTGTATACGGGGGGCTATAGCACTTCTGAGTTAATTGCCATTCAAATAAGTCAAGAAGATCAATGTGGTGCACTATTCGTCGTTTTTGCCTATCCGTCGCGGACGATCCCCACGCTTCCCGCCAGGGCTGGCAGTGACCATTGGTCATATGGCCTCTACTGAAGGCAAAGTTCACGCTATCTCCAAATGCATTTACCGACTAAAGAAACACACTACTGTATAGGCAATGAAGATAATCCTTTTCTCGTGAGGCGTCGCGGTGCATGTTTACTGGGGGTTGCTCCCTCATGTAATCCTGTTCCTTGCTTGCTCTTGCCCTATCCGTGCCGGATCTTCTTAGCGTGTTTTCTTTCAATTATCTGATTAAGTGCTGTATGTCCTAAGCTGGGCGGAATCTCAGCGAATGGCACCAGCAACAGATACGGGAGCTAGACCCACGTCGCTGCAGTTGCTGCGCTGGGGTGTTAATTCCTTGGAGGTCAACCCTGCAGCGTTTGTGTCCCCCGCAACTTCTAGAAGTTCCCGACAAAGACGGAATGGTGGGTTTGCGAGGCTGAGATTCAGTGTGAGGGCCATAGCGGTGGTGGCTGCTGTTGCCGCAATGTACCTAGTGCTCCGTTGTGCTGTTTACTTGGTAAACAGCCGCAAAACCTCACAAACACTCAGATATCTTGCAGTTGCAGAAGGGGAGAACATTGAAGACCCCAACGTATCTTGCAGGAATCCATCAGAGGGCCCTTCGTATGTAGCAGGCTCTACTATTGCTGAAGAAGAAGGCGAAGAAGGCCTGGCTTGGAAGCGACTCTCGAAACGGGCTCACCGTTATGTCACTGACCTGGCGCGGTTGATACATAGAAGCGAGCCTGTGCTGCGCAGGCTGGATCCCCAAATGAGAGCTATGTGTATAGCAGGGCTTTTGTGTTTGTCTCTGGTGGAGTTGGCTGCTTTGCTAACACTGTTGAAAGGAAGACACAGGCAAATCGTATACAGAGAAATGCATACAATTCAAAGACGAATATGGGCCCTGCGCGACAGCATACGCAACGCTGATCTTTCAATTTCTCGACAGCGCCACATCAAACAGCTGCACATACTGCTAGACAGGATCAAAGAAGTAGAGCCCGCAACGGCCCTCACGGAGAGGCAACGGCTGCTAAGAATCAAGCATCTGTTGCAGCTGCAGGAGATGGCTTTGGGGCAGCTAAACATTGGAATTGTCTGGATGAGGGAATCTCTGGAACTCCGTGAAAAGGCCGGTGTTGAAACAAAAGCTTCCGATGCAGCCGCTAAAGGTGTTAGTTTAGCGGTTGAAGGTGGTGCTGCAGTTGCCGCAGCGGCTCATGTTACCGCTGCAACTTCTGAAGGTGCTATTACAAACACTGCAGCTCTCACAAGTGCCGCAGAACGTAGGCTTGCTTCAGTCGTCTGGTCCATCAGAGCAACAGTGCACAAACGCCGGGAACAAGTTCTTCTCGATGCTCTCCTAAGCCGTTGGCTGCGGGAGGTGCATAAAGTAGACCTTCACTACGGCCTTGTCAGGAAGAGCTGTCTCGATGCAATTGCCCAAATGCCGAGAAAAAACCACATGGAGCTCTTAGAAGACCTTCAGGACACTCCGTTGGGGAGGGGAGAAGAACCCTGGGAAAGCGAAGACCGCGAGGGAGAGGACGCGGAACAGGGAATTGTCACCCCCACTCCACTCGAGGCAAGCTCACCCAAAGAAGCATTGTTTGCTGGGGGAGCAACCGGAGCTTCTCTCGATTTAGGACGGCTGAACATTTCCACGCCAAGCTCACAAACAGAGGCAAGCGCTGGTGAATTGGCCGGTGTGTCCGCCTCTCCCAGCGAAGCAACTACTCCTGCTGGTGAGAGGCAGCAAACGACATTACATGCAAGTAGTTCTCTCAAAGCTATGCCTAGTAGAGCAGCGTCCACTGTGCCTTCGCATGTCTCGCCGCCTACTGCAGCAGGGCATCTTGAAGGCTTTGCATTTGCTGCAGCTCCCCAGCCTGCTGTTGTTCCGTCATCTCTTGCTCAATCGCCGGGAGCCGCGCAGGATTCCAAAAAGCCGTGTGCCACTTTCTTCGGAAGCTCTTTGGCTGCTTTGCGATATCCTGGGTCCCTACCGATGCCCTCCCTAATTTCTTTCAGAGCAGCTGCTTCTGCTGCTTCTGCTTACACGCCAAAAGAAATCACACTATGGAGGACCAGTGGTTTTGTTCAGGGTCCTGTTGGCCCAGCTGCTGCTGCTTCACAGGGGGCTCCAGTTGCTTCACTTGGGGCCATGCCTGCCTCCACAGCCTCACGTCCCTCGCCAGCAGTAACAGAAGTGTTTGAGACACCCCTTGAAGGATCAAGGCCCCATCTAAAAGCTACTATTATGCCACCCACCCACCATCATGCATATTCTACACTCTCTGCCTCTCCTGGAGAGGCCCTAAGAGCCTGGCCATCTCAAGCACAAGGGATAGACAGAGTGGCTTCTAAAGACCCACGCACATTCATAAGGGGGCCTGCGATGCAGCTGTTTGAAGCATCAGCGTCTCCGCCCCTGCCAGCCTCTCCTTTTAAATTGACGGAGGGTCGTTCGTCTTCAGAAATACCACAGTCTAGAGTCCCCGTGGACATCTACGGAACGCCAATCACCTTCAGGGAGTGGGGGCTCGCTGCAAACCAGAGAATTCCCGCCGCCGCTGGACTCTTGCCCACAACAAAGCCCGACGAACCAGGTCCTGCTGCGATTGCTGCAGGATTTGCCGCACTGGAGGACCGGTTCCGTGGGGAATCCGGCCAATAGCCGTGCGGAACAATGATGAGCCATATGGAGCTACCAGACCCAACGGCAAGGTCTGCATCTGATGCTACAGCAAGTAGTGCAGCGGCTCAGTCCTTTCCTAGTATCCCCGAATATGGTGTATGGTGTAGAGAGCTCTTCACATCTGGGGCCTCATTTTCTAGGGCGTTACTGGCCCTTTCCTCTCTCATAGTCCTACGAAGGAATGTGGTGTACAGAAGAGTTCCCTTGTGCTCACGTTTGTTTGCAAGTACTTTTCGTCGAGAGCCAATCACTTCGAGCAGGGCAGCGTTCGTCCTATTCGGATACACCCTGTCTGCTCTTCCCTGCCGTATCAGGCGTATTGGGTGACGTAAAATATGCAGCAGCTGCGTCCTCTTGCAGCGACGAGCGTTGATGCTTTGCTTGGAATGCTCAATTAGGCTCCGCGTGCATGAAAATTGCAAAGGGCATAGCGTTTCAGACTCAACTTCCTTCTGGTAACGCAGGTGGACGACCCGCCCTGTTGAAGTGTGAAACCGTTCCACAAAGTGTGACAGAACTAAACAGTAGTACTGATGCTCAGCCCTGAAGGTTCGCATCGACTTATGGCAATAGGCATGCCTAACGCAGTGCAGAAGCGCACTGTTGGTGCGCACCATCCAATTTTTGATCAATGTAAGTCGCTGGTGCAGTGACAATTTCAAACACAGGCAACCGCGCGTTGCACCAAGGCATTTGAACTAGCAGACAGCGCATCAAGGCGTTGGCTTGTGGAGCACTAGAGCGCCTAAAAGTCCAACGGGAACTGCAGTGCGTTTTGGCGGATTCGTCCTCTAACAGCTGCACTGTCTGTTAAAATGAAGGATGCAATCTGACCAAGGCTGATCTCACTGCTTGTTAGGGAATTCGAGCTGCAGCGGGAGCAGTGCGCTTGGTCTACCGCACAATGCACAATGCGCGGTTTCTGGTTCACAAGGGGGGCCTCTCTGTGTGAGCCGCGTACAGCCTGTTGCACGCGCTCGCATTGGTTTTGGAGCAACTGCCATCAATCCCTTCATGGGGGCTGTCAGAAGCTGCGCTTCTTTCTACCTGGACGCCCACCGAGAGCGTGCGGCAATGCGGCTAGCTATACTGTTGGGGGAGCACATTCAGATCAAAAGGCTCCACAGACACACATTGTCCTAGAGGACAGCTACCACCGCAAAAACAGGAAGACGCAAAATAGCCCTCTAACAGGCACGATGACAAATACGCTTGGGGCGTGGCACAGTAATTATAAATCCTAGAGCATACTCCATGATGATAAGCAGTAGACGAATATGCCAATGCTCTCCCGAAGCGGTTCAAAGTGCCCTTGGCGGTTCTTTGGAGCTTCGGGGTCCCATCCGGTCAATGTAGGTGGCACTTCCTCGCGTTCAAGTGGTTTGCTGTGCTCTTACGAGACGGCGCTCTCGATGCGTGGCTAACCTGCTGAATTGCCCTGTGATTTGTCTCCAGAACGCTTTGCCGCATTAATGGGCATTTTCAAATACGTGAATGCGGAGCCGTCTTTCATGAAGGGTCAGGTGTAAGCCCTGGCATTCTTTGAAAGCTCCGAACAGGAAAAGTCCTTGGTGTTCTACTCGTTCAGTGCCCGAACCGCTTGCCAGGCATTCTACAACCGAACCAAGCAATCTAAGAGGTAGTATTTCGCCTTTTCTTTACTGAGTTTTGCGCCCTCCATGCACCCGCCACTTCATCTATTCCAATTTTTGCAAAACGTTTGGCCTTCTCGGCGACATTTGTACAACGTGGAGTTCGCTTAGCCGCGACCGCGACCGTGTCACAACGTCATTGACAACCGTCGATTGTGCATATGTACGTTGCATTAGAGAAAGAAATGCATCTGTCCCTTTTGTCCTTCACAAAGGGGCTGGCTGTCGCGTCACAACTACTGCAAGTGGACAACGGTACACAGCCAAACTTCCATGAAAATAGATATCGGTTGGTGCTGCTCTTCGATCGGATAACCTTCCGTTCTTCAACACCACAACCTTCCAACGCATACAATTCCATCGAGGCACATTGAGGCAGTAATTGCGCATCACTCTACACACTACACACAAAATTCACTGCCATCTCTGCCCTTCGCATCGTACAGAAGTAGAGCACATCGTACTTCCTTCGACGGAAATAAATCAAACTCCTAACGATGGTCTTTATTGCTCACTCAGATATGATTACACAGCACTCTGCTCACAGAACCAAAGGCATTTCAGTCAAGCGGAAACCAAACTCCAGACCATGATAGCCCCTGTCGCATTCTTGCGTCCTCAGCACTCTAAGCCTGCAGTGCAGGCCCATGGTACAGTGCTCCATGATGCCCTAGCTCCTTCCCGTGGGGATTCTTCCCGGCGGAAAGTTCAATAAATCATTGACCCCATAAAAACGGCTTACCCGTTCCGAGTCTTTGGCCTCCTTTATCCACCTATGAGGAGGTAAACGATCCGGAATTCCCCTCAGAAAGAACCTCCGCAGGTGGCAAATTGTTTTCACTAGACTCCGCAGACGCAGGAGACATCTCAGCTGCTGCACCCCTTACCGCAGCATCAGGCGAGGGCATTGCTTCAGCATCTACGGGATGTTTAGAATGCAACAATGCGCCCGACGTTTGAACGGAAGCCCCTCCGAAAAGTCTCCCAAGCTCTGCAAACCCTGCAACAATGGCTCCACGATTTGGGCCATCAACGTCCGGTTCCCCACCTGTCCCTTGGTCCTGGGCTCCAGATGCCAATGGACGGGAGGAAGAATGGCTAAAATGTGGGTAAGATTCGTATGGTACAAGCGGAACGCCGTATGCGCCGGCAGGACGGCGCGGCCTTGATGCGCCTGGGGCTCGATCAAAGACACCCTGCTGTGTGGATGTTGCTGTAGGGGGATGTGTGGCTGAAGAAGCCACAAGCTGGGCTCGTGTAGCCAGGGAGGCCACGGATGCACCAGTAGCGGCATATGTAAAAGGAATTTGAGAAGCAGTGCCATGCGGCCACAAAGTAAAGGCTTTAGGTTGGTACCCAGCAGCAGCAGGAACGGGTGCTTGGTAGAAACTGGGTGGAAGACTCATTGAGTTTTCAGCAGAGGACACAAGACCAAGAAGCCCCTCAACAGAACTGGCACTTCCGAGCGCATCTTCAGAAGAGCGACCATGAGCTGAAAAGGCAACAGCAGGTTCGGGAGCGGCGGACAATGCAGGCACTTGGGGACGCTCTGCACCGGCAGGCGGCGAGACCTCCGTAAGTATATTTTGTACGACACGCACAGGCACTGGCATGTGCTTACTGGTGTCCTGTAAACTTGCGTGCTCCTTCTCATCTACACGCGCTGCAGAAGCAGTAGAGTAGGCGTTGGGGGACGCGGAAGGTGAACCTGTTCCCGAACTGCCGTCCCTATTTCGTGAGAGAGGAAGCTGTGACACCTCTGGCACGTGTGAAGAATTAGTCGGGTCTTCAGAATAATGCACATCCTCTCCTCCGGATGTCGCATCGGGCAACATGGCGGAAATGGCTCTCTTCTGCGCGCCCGTGTTCGCGCGGCGAATGCGCTCCCTGGGGTCGTCTCCTGTTCCCAGTGGAGTGGCCTGCAATGCTTCTAAGAGTTGGCTGTGTGTTTGGAGTGGTTGACGGGATAATGCTTCGAGACGTCCGGGGCTGACAAGACCGTAGTGAGACCTATGGGCGTGTACATCTCGCAGCCAACGGCTGACGAGCGGATCTATAAGAACTTGTTTCCTGCGCAAGTGGATGGTTGCTTCCATAGCATGAATAACTTCAACAAAACCTGAATGTGCAGCAGTCTTGGGAGCTGCCGGAGCTGGAGCAGCACCTTGAGTAGAACCCTTAGCAGCACCGTCGGCAGCTGCAGTAGCTTGGGCGCCACCTTTTTCTTTCTTGCAGCCTTCCAGCGACTCTCTTAGCCAGAAACATCCGGCATTGAGCTGCGCCAAGGCCGCCTCCTGCAGCTGCAGCAGGTGTTTGAGTGCCTGTAGCCGTTGCCTCTCTGCGATGGTCGCTCCAACCGGTTGGACCTGCGGGAGCTTGTCGAGAAAGTCCTGCAGACACTTGATATGCCTGTGCTGCGGGCGAGTAATGTGTCTCCTGCTTATGGTCCGGCTGATGGATTGTATTCGGGCGGTTATTGCAACTATTTCTTCGTTCATGCCGGCCCGTTGTCTCTTTTCCAGCAGACAGAGCAAAGCAGAGAACTCCACCAAGAAAAGACATAAAAACGCTGCAGTGCACTTTGCTTTTAGATCGGACTTTAGCTGTAGCAGCACAGGCTCAGCGCTCGCGACCAGTCGCTTCATATCACGGACATAGCGGTGCGCCTGTTCCACCAATTCCTGCTCAACAAGAACTTCCTCCTCCCCTGCAGCAGACGCTGCATCAAGGTGATTCTCCCCCGAAACAGCACAAGGTCCTCCGGCGTTTTTGTCCGTCGTCCCTTTTGACACTGACAAAAGTCTCGGTTCTGTCTTGCTCCTGTGTGAATTCGTTAAAAATAGAGCGCAGTGGAGCAACAAGAACGCGGCCGCAAGAGCAGCAACGACTGGAAAGATAGAGGCAGTAACTCTGACTCTTCCATTCTCGCCCAGCCATCTTTGTGCCAGACTTCTCGAAGTAACCGGCGAAAGAGTGTCGCTTTGGGAGACATCCAATGAAGTGTTGCTCCGGCGCAGATGTGCCGTCAAGTGAGCGCCCGCTTCTCCTGCAGTGGAGATCTGCATGCCTGCCCGTTAGATTGAGACACACCATTCAGAGTTATAAAATGAGTCAACAAGGCCGAATAAAAAGGCAGGCGATACGCTAGAGGCTTCCAACTGCACGAGACCCGGCGTTCCTTGAGTAGCCATCCACGCAGGGAATCGCCCCCAAAACAGTCAAGCTTCCGTGAATCGGTTAAACCCGATATTTTTCACTCTTACAGACAATAACAGAAAGCGATGGATATTCTATGGAGAAGGCGGTGGAGAGGACGGTGGAGAAGGTTATATTGACCATCTGAGCGGGGATGTGAAGCAAACGACCTCCGCTCGCTGCCAGCCCGTCAGCCATCCTGGAATTCCCTGGGGACGGGCACGCACAGGCAAGAAAAACGGTCTGTCACGGATATCAGTCACTTGTTTAAATTGCATTATTAACTACAGAAGGAGTTTCGGGGGACTGAGTCGGTTGTGTGCCCCTTGGCACTGGGGCCCAGGTGGTGTCTTTGGCGTTGCAGTGGCAGTGCTGCTGTTGTTGCTGCTTCTCCTACGTTCCCACAAAAGTTGCTGCTGAAATAAAATTCTTTTGTTTTACTCTATGCTCATGCATTTGTTGAACAGCATGGGAAGGGACTTCTTGCCTCGCAAAGTTGTATTGTTGGGGGGAGCGCGAACTCCAATCGGCAGCTTCCTGGGTGCACTTCGAGCATCGCCGGCAGCGAGGCTTGCTGCTGCCGCCGTTACAGGAGCCGTCCAGCGTGCTGGGATTGCTCCTGCTGAGGTTAAGCAATGTGTAGTAGGCCAGGTGATTGTATCGGGTCAGGAAAAAGGCGCTCTGCGAACGGCCCTGCGGCGCGCAGGCAGGTGCTTCCCTTTGTCCTCGTTCACTCTTACTTGTGTTTCATCTTTGGCGCTATCGAAGCTCGTTCCGACTCGAGACCCGCTGTGCTGTGTACTTATTCCTCATCTCTATATTCGTGTCCGTTGTTACGGGCAACAGCATTTGTAATGGTTCTTTCTCTCCTGTGTCGCATCTCTGCCTTGCTTCCCATTTCTGACTCATCGGCCCTCATCTGACTTGTATAGGAGGAACAAGTTTACCTGTGGCTGTTTCCCGGTGCCGGCAAGAGCCTTACTTGCTGTAGCTGCAACAGTAGCCACGGAATTAGAGGAACCACTTCTCAGAAACGCGCCTAACACAAGAAATAGTAACTGGAGCAGCCATAGCAACAGCAGTACCATGAGCAACAACTAGAGGAGTAACAGGAACAGCAACAGAGAAGGCAAAAACTCGAGCAGCGGTTGCAATGGTGCAGCACAAGCAGCAAATAGTGAACTCTGTTGTCGAGTGCGTTTCTCGGGGGTACGTGTGCTAACTACATTGCCGATTTGTAGTCTCGTTCTGGTGCTGTGAGTGTGCAGGCATTCCTTCTTCGGCTTCTGTTTACGGCGTGAACAGCAGCTGCTCGTCTGGCCTCAAGGCGGTCTGTTTGGCGGCGAGTTCCGTAGCATTGGGCGAAGCTCCGGTGGCCCTAGCTTGCGGCGTTGAGTCGTTGAGCAACGCACCCTACCTCCTCTTGTAAAAATATTTGCATGTTCCTCTGCTGCGCTTGTTGTTGCTTATGCTTTTTCTGGTACTTCTGCTCCGTCGAGGGTGCATGTCCTGTCCTGTGTAATATCCATGCACGCCGGTCGATTCTTACGCTGGCCAATTCTTAAGATGGTACAGCTTCACTCGCATTATTCTCCTAGCGTAGCGGGCAACTGAGCTGCAGGAGCACCTGCCGTTACGAGCTCTTGCCACGACGCAACTGGACGTATGACGTCTGTCGATCCATAAGGTGCCTTCAACTGTTCCAACCCTTGTCTGTCCTTTGCAGTATCCACCACGAGGCTTTGGTTGTAGGGCATCTCTTCTGCCGTTATTTTATGCTGCAGGAAGGCTCGACAGGGCGGCTACAAGGTGGGAGACGGTGCTCTTGTTGATTCGCTCGTTCTTGAGGGCCTCCGGGGCTCCGAAAATCAACAGTTGCCAGGAAAGGTTAGGAACTCGTGAAGCCGCCGCCTTTTCCCCCTGTTCAGGCCATACTTGGTTACCGACTTTATTTTTTGCCTTCGCATTATTCTTCCGTGCAGTCTTTTTGTGTCTTATGTCTGCCTATTCCCCACAATGGAACATTCCCCGTCTCTGCCATTGTTCCTTGCGTATCTATTGCTATCCTTGCCATAAAGACGAGCTCCAGCCTTTCGTGCCGTTTGTTTCTACTGTCTTCCATTTAGTGGGTAGAAGGCCTCGCAATGCAATTGGGAATATCTCGAGGAGATTGCGACAGCTACGCGGTGCAGAGCTTCAAGCGTGCAGCAGATGCTGCGAGTAGTGGCTTCTTTCGTCTCGAGGGTCTTTTGCCCTTCTGCACAGCATCTGCAGGTAATGCAGTTTATTCTAATTGAGAGCAGATAAGCTCGAAGAGACTTTTCCCGTAGCCTTGGAGATGTTGCTGAGTTCGGACAGTAGGAGTGGAGACAGCAAGGGCAGACAGTGTTTACAGACAGGGAACTTTTGGCAGTGTGGTGCAGCGGCAATGGCTGCAGCGATCACGAGTATATGGCTGCTCCACCTACGTCAAACGCTCCAGCAAAGTGAGGCAGCCAGCTGGCATGCAGTAAGAGGGCATCTTGTGTTGCCCTGCATACTGTGCCACTCTGTCGGTGCAGAAACGCCCAACCAACGTGAGAGTTGTGCTGCTTGTTCGCCTCAATTACCGCAGTTGCAGCAGCACCGCGAGCGCCGTGTAGTAGTGTCCCGGCACCGCCGGCAGCAGCAGCAGCGGTCCGAGGAACGTATGCCGGGGCTGCTGCAGGAGGATGAAGAGGTGCAGCGAATTTCGCTGGACCGTCTTGCTTCAGCCAATCCCGTGTTTGCCCCTGAAGGGCTCACTACCTCTGAAAATGCGTTTAGGCTGGGGGATGGAGCTGCAGCAGTAGTATTGGCTGCCGACGAGGAGGCAACGAAGAGAGGTTTGAAGCCTCTCGCCAGGCAAGCCTGGGAGAAGCATAGCCCCCTGTAGTTTTCTCCCTTTGTGCTCATCCCGTGCAGCAGGGAAGGCACACACTGCCCCTTAAAGCTGTACAAACCGCAGAGGTGGGAGGCACAAGTTTGAGCGGGACTATGACACGGGGAAAGTGTGTATTTGCAGAATTCTCGCCTTTGCTGACGTTGCGCAAGTGGACAGAGGACCGTCGTTAGCTCTCGCTGCTGAGGAGGCCATGACGAAGGCGCTTCACCGAGCTGGTCTAGAGCAGGCGAGCGAGACAGCACATTTTGGTACTGCGGTTATGCGCGATGAACTCACTACATTATAGGTTATCCCAAGACAGCAGGAGCAGCCTTGCTGCTTATGAAGGGCGCACTGCATTGGCGTCTTAACGCTGCTGCGCATCGCTGTCTTTGTCTGTGTGTGTCTGTGGTTGCCTCCGTCTGTATCCGCCTATTTGGAACTTCTGTGCGATATCCCTCTCCATAGCAATCTCGAGTGTCACTCCTCCCTCATTTTCTGTGGTTTTGTTTCTGCTGCTTGGGGGCTGGCAGTAGCAATTTCTGCTCCGTGTATTTGGTGCCATCGGTCGTTGTAGTTGCCCTGCCTCAAAATGTCCAAAAGTGCATCTGCGTCCCTCCGTCGGCGACTCTCTCCGGGAGAGCTACTCCTGCTGCTGACTGTCAGTATCCTTTTTGTGCTTATTTGTTTTTCTACATGCGCACTCTTCCTACGCTGCTTTTGTGGGCGATGATGCTGCGCCAGTCTTGCTGTCGGTAGCTGGCCCTTCAGGGGTCCCTGCAGATGTTTACGTGGCCTTCGTGTGTTGGTTAGATGCGTGTCGATGTGGCTCCTATTCTATTGGTGCAGGCAGATCTGTATGAAATCCACGAACCTTTTGCTGCGCTGCCCTTGTTGCTGATGCGCCGGCGAAATCTTTGTCATTCCCGTGTTAATCTTCACGGCGGGGCGATAAGTCTAGGTCACCCTCTAGGTGCGTTTCAAAGCAGTGTCCTTGCTGAAACATCGGTCTGTCTTCAAACCAGACATTGCTCTGCCGCTGTCTCCCGGTGTTCAGGCATGTCTGGCGTGAGGATGCTACTATCCTTAGCGGCTGCCCTGAAGGCCCGTGGGCTTCCCCATGGTTGTGCAGTCATCTGCAACGGGGCGGAAACAGCTACAGCGATTGTGATAGAGGCTCTTTGATTTGCGCTTGTGGCAGCTCTCGTTGCCCTCCCTTCTTGCCTGTGATGCTAGGGCGCATGCGGAACACGGCCGCTTGAAGGGAACTTTCCTACTGGCGACTGCCGCTGCTGTTTTTGCGGTTGTTCAATCTGTAACACCTCCAAGATTTGTTAACTTCAGGCGAGGCTTGCCTTGAGGCTTAATCACTATTGCTGTGCCGCATCACATTCGCCCATGGTGTGCCCTGTGGCGTTTGCTGGTGTGGAACAACCAGTCGTAGCGCCTGCCAGTTTTCTTAGAAATTATTTTTCTCCCTCTCATGCATGAACCTTGTTTACGCAGGTATCCTTGTAGATCTCCCCGTAGGAATAAACGGAGGCGGTCAGGCTGCTCTCCGTACATTCTTAAATATGGTGTTTGCCATTCTTCATCCATTCATGCCACTATGCTTCCTCCTATATATATATTATATATAT